TCAAGGATCAAAGTGGCAGATCAAGTAAAATCTGGCAAAAACATTGGTGAATGCCACAAATTCTCCTAAATCACTCGTACGCACAACTTAAGAACAAATCTGTGCGTACGAACGGTTCTTCCATGAGGCCCAATGTTTCATATTTAAACTCATCCTTTTTTACGACTTGTTATTTTCTAAAGTGCTGCTTTATTTTGGTCACTGCTTTCCAACAKGGTAGCGTGTCTTCATGTTGGCTCAAATCAAACCTACCCTGCTTCACTTCTCGTTTCTGATCTTGCCTTTTCTCCATCTGCAGCTTCAGGAGCTCCTCCATTTGAGTCAGCTGTCGGCGCAGCTGGACTTTATCTGACCGCAGCTCACTGATCAGCTCCTCCCTCTGCTGACCTTTGGCTTTCTCTGCCTCCATCTTCACCTGCAGGACGTGCAGTTCCTCTTTGTAGTCCTTCAAACGAGGCGGGGAAGAGACTGAGAAATGAAACAAAAAAATAAAAAGAATTATCCCTCTGCTAGTCTTTAGCTCAGAACAAATGGTCTGTTAGCAAATAACCAGTGTTAAATGCTTCAGCTGCAAAAAACAAAACAAAATTCTACAACTGTTTTCATTTAAGGTAAATGYTTAAACATTTGCATGTTTAGTGGAAGACACAAATTTATTTCCACAGATACAATATCGACTAACATATACACACAACATCACATATTATCTTTCATTTACACAAAAATATCACATATCACCCGACATATACACATAACATATGACATAACACATCACTTACCTTACATATCCCAATACATATACATCTTACATAGACAGAAATACTTATTTTTGACACAAATGGATTGCCATACCGACCATTTAAATCTYATGAAGCCTGTTCTGTCAGCAAGAAAACTATTTTGTTTTCAAAAGGTTTCATCTCACAGAGCACAGAAAATTTATTTGAGCTGTTTCTAATTTGTTGTTTGCTTATTTTAGTTAATCTCTCCTCTTGTGTGTTCAGCTTTACGTCAATCAGTGGGGATTATTCTTCCTAATAAGATGGAAGCTTTACTAAAAAACAACTTTTATTCCACAAGCAGAACATTAAGAAAAAATAGCAAACAAAAGAAAAGGTGTATAGCAGCTCATACATGTCAGGTTGTACGGATTGTCCATAATTTACACGGATTTTCCATCATTTTGCRAGCATATGGGTGWAKAAAGCAATCTCAYGGATGTTTTCATGTTTCACAGATTTTTTTCAAAAACTCAATTTCAAASTTATGSCTTTATAAATTATACACCTCATTTTAGAGCCTGYAGGACATTAAAAAACAATAAATAACATCAAATATCCATTTCCATCCTCATTTCCTCTTGCTTTCCTCATCCCCCCATGTGATTGCTATTAATTATTTTCAAAACTTACAGATTTTTGAAGCTTATCATATAGGTAAGCATCCAAGTAACAAGTTTTTTTTTTGAGGATTTGTCAATTTACTAACCAATTTTAATCACTTTAACTTTTATTTTGTTACATTCAAAACATAAAAATTATACTTCTTTACAATTCAACATGTTACACATTTAAATATGATCAAACTCATCCGGACGAGTCGTTTGTGCACTCTAAAAAYGTTCATGCGCTCTTTCTTTAAAGAAAATGTGTAAATTGCACAATAGTGGAACCAGTTTGGTAGGTWAACTCAACACTTCATTACTTAAAGTGTGTAAAAGTACTTCTTTTTTTACTTTCCTGTTTATTGTGAGCAGGTTTATGACTTTTATTTAAGTGCTTTTCTTATCAGTGAAATTTATTTTTTTTTTACCAGTCATTTTCTGTTAAAATATTTTTATTTTTACTTATTTATTTCATACATTATAGATCTCCGATTGTCGGGCACATTAAAGGTAG